GTTGCTGCCCCCAGACAGCAGAGGACACACTTCTGCTAGACTCATCTGCCAGACTTACAGATCCAAAGGAAACCTGTAGGCAGCCAGTTTAGCCGAAGCCTTTCAGAGCTGATCTTTAAACTTTGTTTGTTAGCTGTTTGCTTCCCTCCTTGCAGCTCCGTGCGCAAGTACGCTGAATAATTCATGAAAAGTTGACGTCTTTTTCAGCAATGGATTCAATTCAATTCAATTGTATTTATATAGCGCAGATCCCTGAATGGAGACCTTTAGGAAACACTAACTGTTTATGTTTATGCATTTGGCAGACGCTTTTATCCAAAGAGACTTACAGAGTAGACACAATATTACATTTATCATCACTATGACAATTCAATTCAATTAAATTGTATTTATATAGTGCTACATCGCAACAACAGTTGTCTCACAGCGCTTTCCAAACAGAGCAGGTCAGACTCTACTCTGAAGTTAATTACAGAAACCCAACAGTTCCCACCACGAGCAAGCACTAGGCGACACAGGCAAGGAAAAACTTCCTTTTAACAGGCAGAAACCTGGAGCAGAACCATGGCTCAGGGTGGGCTAATTGATGCTAATATAATCATCTGATTACCAAATATTCCATTTGTAACTTGTGTTTGAGAAGATTGGACATGCAAAGGTGTCTTCCTTATTAATTTTTTATCATTATTGTTGTTGTTTTTGTTTTTTTAGTTTAGTCAAAATGGTGACAGCTGTAGGAAATTTCCCTCCATTACACAGTCTGAACAACATGGTAGCTCCGAGTTAACCTGGATAAAAAAAAGAGCTTTAGAGACCAGATGTTTTACGGTCGCACATCTGGAGAACATCTGGAGGTTCTTCTGAGATTGTAAAAAGTAAAAAGGGTTCTGGGAAAAGAGAGCTGGTCCACTTCTCCTTAAGGGTTTACAAATCCATCAACAGTCTGTTTGATTCTGGGGAAAAATCCTCCTTTGGTGCCCACATGTTTGGCACCCGTCGGTTTTTTATTTCTGCTGGTAGAAAATGAGCCAAAGCCCAGAAACACGGAGAAGTCTGTGAAATGAACCAGAACAACAGAAACCGTTCCTTTACCTCTTCACACATCCACAGAACGCCCAAAGAGAAGCAGCATCTCCCCTCCTTTTATTTCCCCTTTTTTGTTTTTTTTAAACAAATTTTTTATTATTTTTTCAGAAATAATACAATGTGGTACGAATGTACATGTGTATTTTTACATTTTTAAACATAAAAAAAACAAAACACAAACACAGGGTGATTTCAAGAGTGTGAGAAAAAAACAAACAAAATTTTTTTACATAATTAGTGGAACGACGGGTCTCCAACGTTTATTGAATATGGGTGTTTGTAGTCTCAGAGAATATGTTTTATATTCCATTTGGTATATGTCCCAGACCTTCTGGATCCATATATTGTAGCAGGGAGGAGCCATCTGATAGTTATGCATTGTAGAGCCGCTGTTAATCATTTATTCAAAAGATATTTTCTATTTCGTGTAGTAATAGCCCCCTTTTTTTTATTGGTTTGAGAACCGAGTGTATTAACTGTTGAATTCAGCTCTTTAATCATCATCACTGTCTGATTCCTCCCTCCATAACCCTCGTGTCCAATAGGAAAGCAGTCTAGGCTATATAAAAATCTAAATTTAATAGATGGTTTTGAATGATTTCATTTCAAATAAGGACTTTTGATTAAGGTTAAATAAATAGTTAGTTCGGTAAAATGACAACAGGTTGTCCAGACAGAGCTGCTAACCTTTGACCTCCCAGGACAGGTTTTTTAGTTAAAAAAAACTAAATATAAATATATGTCACTTCTGCTCTGTCTGATCTTCCTCACGTAGAACCAGATGTTCGTTTTTCTAACCTGATCACCAGACGCCTCTCTGGTGTTTCTCTGCCCATTTTCAGAGGATCTTGTGGTCAGTTTACAGTGCCGATAAATGGCCCATCAGTTTTTTTTGTTAGTTTTTTCTCTTTTCGAAGAGTTGGGCCACAAAGTGGTGATCCCAGACTCGTTCTTGCTCTTAAACCTTTTTAGCGAATTTTTTTATTATTCCTAGCTCTATACTACTCAGTCTAAGTGTATGCTATTACAGGCAGATTTTTCATTTTTTACAAAGCTGCTTTGGTTCACATTTTTCTATTTTCCTGAGTACAAGAGAAATTGTGACTGAAATCAGCCAAATTACGCATTTCTAGCGGTCGCTCTGCTCTAATAAATCTACAGTGATCTTTATAACCCAGAAACGCCTGTGGAGCTGATTCACAGCCATAGTCAGCATTTGTGTGTCTCAGAATACAAAATTTCAACAAAAACAACACAACATGGAGCGTTTGTTCCACAGTGGGGCTGCTGGTGTGTTTGGAGGCAGTGGTGGGTTTTGGGAAAGCTTTCTTTTTTTTTTTACAGCGTTTGCTGACTGAAACCAAAGCAGGGCGGCTGATAAGGAGCCTCTGTGTTGATTGATTGGCTGATTGCCTTTTATTGAGTAGCAGTAGCAATAGGTCATCCAAATCCCCGTTTACTGGTCAGTCCTCAACTCGTCCAGGGGAAGTGCACCAGTCTTTTTAATGGGACTTTTGGACATTTCAGTCGTAAATAAAACACCTTTTTTTAAACGGCTACTGATCATTTTCGGACCACATGTTGACGCACCACTAGGGTTGTCAAAAGTATCGATACTAAAATGTTGTGTCCGGATACGATACTCATTTTATAAAGTATCGATACCACCGCCCCTTCTCTCTGATTTATTTCTGTATTTATTTACGTTGTTTATGATCATTAACAAGACGTTAGCCTTGAACTGCTAGCTGCGGCCAATAGCTAATACTAACATGGTAAAATTAATCAAGTACATATCAAAGTCCGCCCACATGAAGTCGGCCATTTTGATTAGGTCACCAATAGGAAGATCCCAGGCAAGAAAATGATAATGGCTTCATGGCGATATAGACATTAATTTAAAAATAGTGAAATTAATCTTTCAAACACTTAATTAAACTCTATCCATAATATTATGTTAAAATAGTGGATGTTAAATAGGTTTGTACATTAAGTCCAAACAAGTTTAACCAAACAATATTTATTTCTCACAATTATGAAGGCTTGAGGGTTAGGGTTAGGGTTAGGTTTAGGGTTAGGGTTAGGGTTAGGGTCATTAATGTGGGCCATCAGTCACGATAACATCAGTGACAGGTCAGTTTGAAATGAAAGACACAATTCAGTTAAACTTTAGGGTCTTTGTTTTTATCCTTGTGGTATCGAAAATGGTATCGAGTATCGAGTGTTTTCCCTAGTATCGGTATCCAGTTGAAAATGTTAGTATCGTGACAACCCTACGCACCACCACAGAAGAAGAGTTTAGGGTTTGGTTTAGCTTCCATGTGTCCATGTGATTGTTGGAGCGAGGTCGAACACGAGGAGACATCTTCCCAACGCGGAACATCAAAGTCCGGACACTTGATCCGGAATAAAGGTGGCCTCCAAAAGACACTCCCCTATTTAGAAACGGGGGCTGTCGGCCTGAGACATGCAGCAAAGGGAGTGAATCAGAGCCAGGGTGTGTGTGTGTTAGTGTGTGTTAGTGTGTGTTAGTGTGTGTGTGTGTGTGTGTAAGTGTGTGTGTGTGTGTGTGTGTGTGTGTGGGGGTGGGGAGGAGGTCACCAGCCAGCAGGGCAAGGCTGAGGGGGCTCAAATATCACTCTGCTGACCGCTGTTGTCCTGAGAGACAAACCAGCTCCCAGTGAAAGTTTTTAAAGTTTTCTCCTTCTTCCTGGTCACATTCTTCTTAAACTTAGACTTAGACTTAGACTTAGACTTAGACTTCCTTTATTGTCATTGTACAAAAAACACAAGGTGAATCTTGACAGTGAAATGTCGATTTCTTGGCTACCAGTGTAACAGAGCTAAGACCTTATTCCTACTTAATAAATA